TGCCCAGGTCTTTCAGGTGCTCAGGTCCTTCAGGTGTGTGGCTCCTCAAGGTACCTGGGTCCTCCAGGTATTCAGGTCCTCCAGGTGCTCAGGTCCCAGAGGGTCCTAGGAGCTGCACCTGGGAGTTCAGTCCAGCAGGACCTCACAGGGAGACAGGGTCCTAGCAAGGAGCTCTGCAGGAGGGCGAGGTACCAGAGGAGGGCCGGCCATGGGGAGACGCAGGCTTTCTGCAATTAAGGGTCGGTGAGAGGATGGGTCACTGTTTCCATTAGGAAGCCCTGCTCTCCTTGGGAGGGTGCACCTGAGAAGAGGCTTCATTTGAATGCAGCTGGGACTCCTGCCGCTAGCAAACGTTCTTCCCCACCATCCTGTCTCTGTAGGAGAGGGAGCTGCACAAACCATTAGTTTATGGTCACCATCTCCCACAGTGCTCAAGGCATGAAAGTGCCACTTGGAAGGAGGGCAGAGTTCACAGGGCAGGGCTTGCTGGGTCCACCGGGATGAGGCCAGGCTGTCCACAGCCACTTCTTGGCCTCATCCATGATCCCCTGAGCTGTTTTGTCCCACAGATCCATCAGAACAAAATGCATGTTGACCAGACTCGAGTTCAGCTCCTCTCCCTCCCACAGGCCCTGAACCTGGACTCCCTTAGCCTGGGCCAGCCAGTGACTCCCCCGGGGAAGCTGATTTGCTGTCCACCAGGCCTCCACACCACTCCCCACACAAGAACAAAGAACAAGGCTGAATCCTTTCCAAGCTTGTTCACACCCCCCACAAAAGAAAGCTTTTGGCTGGGCGCGGTGGCTCACGTCTGTAATCCCAACAGTTTGGGAAGCTGAGGTGGGCGGTTCATTTGAGGCCGGGAGTTCGAGACCAGCCTGGCCAACATGGTGAAACTCTATCTCTACTAAAAATACAAATTAAAAAAGTAGCCAGGCACAGTGACATGCACGTGTAATCCCAGATACTCTGGAGGCTGAGGCAGGAGAATGACTTGAGCCTGGGAGGCAGAGGTTGCAGTGGGCTGAGATCGCACCATTGCACTCCAGCTGGGGTGATAGAGAGAGACCCCATCTCAATTAAAAAAAAAAAAAAAAAAGGCGGGGCACGGTGGCTCACACCTGTAATCCCAGCACTTTAGGTGGAGGCAGAGGTGGGCAGATCACCTGAGGTCGGGAGTTCAAGACCAGCCTGACTAACACAGAGAAACCCCATCTCTACTGAAAATACAAAATCAGCCCAATGTGGTGGCACATGCCTGTAATCCCAGCTACTCTGGAGGCTGAGGCAGGAGAATCACTTGGACCTGGGAGGCCAAGGTTGTGTTGAGCTGAGATCATGCCATTGCACTGTAGCCTGGGCACCAAGAGCGAAACTCCGTCTTGAAAAAAAAAAATGGCATCTGGACTGGCCAGCTGCTGTGGCTCACACCTGTAGTCCCAGCACTTGGGGAGTCCCAGGCAGGCAGATCACTTGAGCCCAGGAATTTGAGACCAGCTGGGCAACATAGCGAGACCCTATCTCTACGAAAAGTTTGAAAAATTAGCCAGGTGTGGTGGTGCACACCTGTAGTCCCAGCTACTCTAGAGGCTGAGGCAGGAGGATCACTTGAACGGGAAGGTAGAGGCTGCTGTGAGCTGAGACTGTGCCTCTGCACTCCAGCCTGGGTGTCAGAGCAAGACCCTGTCTCAAAAAAAAAGAAACAGTCTAGGTTGTGTTTCGATTTTGACATTCCCCGGCCTGTGTCCACCTCCATCTACAGGGCTGGACAGAGCCTTGCTGCTCACTCTCTGGGCACCTGTAACTGCTGGAGCCCAGAAGGGAGCCCCTCCCATCTTCCCACAGACCTGTGCCCCAGAGTCGCCACTCGCCCATGGCCCCCGAGCTGAGAGGGGTGCCGGCTTCTTTCTTTTCATTTCTTCCACAAATATTGACCAGACTTTTGTTCGACCAGATCCTAGAGCTGGGAGACCTGGCAGGGGACAGGGCAGATGAGGACCTGTGTTCAGGAACCCTCCCAGGGCGGTACCCATGGGTGACTACAAGAACACCCACACCAGGCTGGCAGAAGGCGTCGTCAGGGCAGGTGTCTGACCATGAAGGACGGCCTGGAGGGAGAGCAGGTCAGGCTGGCAGAAGGCAGCGGAAAGCCCTGGGTGGGGCAGAGCTTCGGGGCTGCAGGGGCCCAGCTGGGCCAGAAAAGGGAGATTGGCCAGGGCCAGTCCTGGTGAGGCTGAGGCTCTGTGGGGCGTCTGCGTTTCTCTTCAGGGCATGAGGAGCTCTTCTGTTCAGCAGGGGGCTGAGGGATGAAGAACCATCAGGCTTGTCTTTCCGTTTGTTGGTTTTTGAGACGGAGTCTCACTCTGTCGCCCAGGTTGGCATGCAGTGGTGTGATTGGCTCATCGCAATCTCCGCCTCCTGGGTTCAAGGGATTCTTTTGCCTCAGCCTCCCTAGTAGCTGGGATTACAGGTGTGAGCCAATCCGCCTGAAGAGCAGCTGACTTGGAAAGGTCATACCAGCACGGAGGGCTTTTGCAATGGGGGACCTCTGCTCCCACCGCAGGGTCTGCAGGGAGCTCCCGGGTTAGCCAAGGGGATTTTTTTTTGAGACAGAGTCTTGCTCTGTTGCCCAGGCTGGAGTGCAATGGCACCATCTCAGCTCACTGCAACCTCCACCTCCTGGGTTCAAGCGATTCTCCTGCCTCAGCCTTCTGAGTAGCTGTGATTACAGGCATGTGCCACCACACCCAACTAATTTTGTATTTTTAGTCAAGATGAGGTTTCACCATGTTGGCCAGGCTAGTCTCAGACTCATCGTAGGTGATCCACCCGCCTCTGCCTCCCAAAGTGCTGGGATTACAGGTGTGAGCCACTGTGCCTGGCCTGGGTTTTTTTTTTTTTTTTTTTTTTTTTTTTAATGGGCGGCATGTACAAGGCTAGAATATGTGTGGGGAGTTGGGGTGGGGGGCCTGATGGGCAGTAGATAGAGCAGTTCCATGAGCCAGCCTGGTCTCAGGGAGTGGGGAGTCACAGGCTGGCCCAGGCTGAGAGAGTCCCAGTCCTAGGCCTGGGAGGAGAGCAGCTGAGCTGAGTTTGGTCAACAAGTGTTTTGCTCTACTGCACCCTTGGGGATCACTGGAGAAGCCAAGGGGACTCAGGGCCTGGGCCGGGCCTTGCTCTATGTAGACCCGGGGTGGGGGCATCTCCGAGTCTCACCCAAGTCACATGGGAAGGGTTTTCTCTGCACAAGCCATTTCTGGAACACAGGGGTCGGGGTTTCTTTTTTTTTTTTTGAGATGGAGTTTCACTCATGTGTTACCCGGGCTGGAGTGCAATGGCGCGATCTCGGCTCACCGCAACCTCCACCTCCTGGGTTCAGGCAATTCTCCTGCCCCAGCCTCCTGAGTAGCTGGGATTACAGGCACGCGCCACCATGCCCAGCTAATTTTTTGTATTTTTTTTAGTAGAGACGGGGTTTCACCATGTTGACCAGGATGGTCTCGATCTCTTGACCTCATGATCCATCCGCCTCGGCCTCTCAAAGTGCTGGGATTACAGGCGTGAGCCACCGCGTCCGGCCCGGTTTCTTAACCTTCGCTGTTTCCAGAAGCCCAGGCTCTTTGAGCGCTACGTTGGCACCAAACATCGCAAAGGAGCTGCTTGGGTCAGGGCCGGGGGCCACTGGAGTGTCGCCAGGAAGCGGGAAGGGCCGCGGAGGCCAAGGCTGCTCACCACTCTGGTGGCACCAGCGGGGCCGCTTGCCCGTGGCTCCCAGCCCCACCCTCAGCTATCACTCAGCAGGTCCCAGGGAGTTTCCAGTTGCAGGTGAGGGCTGCTCCACCCAGTGACCTCGAGTGGCCGGCGTCAGGGGCTGGGGCAGTCAGAGTTTGAGTTCTCTTCTCCTTCCTGTGCCTCAACAAGCCCATCCCAATGGTCAAGTCCCCAAAGGGGTGTGCACCTGCCAGGGCCATCCAAGGTCCCCGGCTCCAAAATAGCTTTCCAATTCCAGCCCCTTAAGGGGCGGCCAGTTCTCCCACATTTGCCTTTGAATGGCACTGAGAGGCTTGGGCTTCAACTCCCACCAGGGGAGGCATTATTAAAATGCACCTGAAGCCTCCCAGAGCCCCGAGAGGTGCAGGTGCGTGGGCCCTTGCTGTCTGGGTGGTCAGAGTAGCGGGCTCACACAGGTCCTGGGCCAGGGCTCCAGGTGACCCCGGCTGCTGCACAGGCTCCCAGCTGCACCCCAGAACCCTCTGGCCCGCCGCTGGGAAAGGTCTCCCTAAAGGAAGGGCCCAACCCCCAGTCCCAGAAGACCTCTTTGCTAACACCTCGTGGAGCTGACGGCTTACTCCAGAATTTATATTCCCAGCACCTGGGGCCCTCCTGGTCCCTCAGCAGCAGGTGGGACTCGGTGTCTCCAGGATCAGACTCAGCCTCTGGGACCCACTGAGGGCCTGTGACCCAAATGCCTGTCCCCCACCCCCTGTTCAGGTGGGATGAGACTGCATGGGTTCTGGCGACAGGCGCTTCCACAGTTTCCAGGACGGGGCCCCATGGTTGCCCTCCGAGGCTTGGGGGTGTCCTGGGAACCCAGAATCGGTGCTGCCTCCTTTCTTGCTGTGATCCCACGCTGGAGAAAGGCTTCCTTCCTGACCTCCTGGGAGCTGGAGCCCTGTATCCTCCCAGCGGGTGACCCCCAAGCCCTTCCCAACTCTGCCCCTGCAGCTCCCTGGGACTGAAACCTTCCCCCTCCACCCCGTGGTCTCCAGTGGAATGTCCCAGCTGCCCACTCCCAAGGCAGATCACCCTGGAGGGGTGTGTGCTCACACGTGGGGCCTGTGCTGCCTGCTCACGGCCCACCCCCACCCGGTGGCCTCAGTGGGCTATTGGTTGAATGAATGAATGAATATGTGACGGTGGAAGGAATGGGGTGGCCAAGGGGGGCTCAGGAACGTTCCCACACCTAGAACCCGGCGCTGAAGAAAAGAACACAGAAGAACGTCAGTCGTAGGATGATTGAGTGTTTCTTTAAAAACAAAAACCCCACAAAAAAGCCAGAATGCCTTGCCCAGCCCAGCCCAATGTAACAGGTTAGCCATTAACACAAAATAAAAGACATCCCAGCCACACACGTCATTACTCGGCAGAGGGTGTCCGGCCTGCTTGGCCGGCGTCACAGTGGATGGCCCTGCGTGGCTGGGACACAGACAGGGAGCAGGCGTGGCACCTGTGCCACGCAGAGCAGCAAGGCTGGGCGAGACCACTGGAAATAAATAAACATGGTGCCGACAGCATCTTAAATTAGTAAGACGTTAGCACAACACAAAAAAGGCGAAACGACTGAAAACGTTGCTTGTCTTGGTGGGTGTGCTCTAAAACACGCGAGACCCACGAGCGAAAACCACTGTGGCATTTGTCGGTGGAGTATGGAGAAAAGGGAAGTCTTCTGAGACAGCCCCTGTGGTGGCCCTGGCCCCCTGCGGAGTTCCAGCACGGCAGGAGGGGGAGCGGACACGGCCCTTGCCTTCTGAATTGGGGTCCCTGGGCTGGGTTGGGGGACACAGCACCAAGGATCAGACTGGACAACCCCCCCATGACCTTCTGTGGAGTTCTTCCCCCTCACAACCCAGATGCCTGGGAGACTCTGCAGTGTGAAGAGGGACCCCAGCGGCTGCTGTGATTTCACTAAGGAGCTACTTTCCGCCACAGACACGGGCAGCCCCCATGTTGCCCACGGCCGCAGCAGCCAACAGGCAAGCGTGTCTCATGGGCAGGCCACTAGCTCCTGCGTCCTTAAGGCATGTCCACCTCCAGAGCAGGAGGCTGCAACAGAACGGGATCCCAAGGCCCCCACTGGGGGCAGGAAGCGCAGACACCCGCACAGGCCCTGCCGGCCCCAGTGGAACGCTCCCAGTGGTGGGTGCGTCCAGGGAGCACCTCCCCGGTCTCGAGGGCCGCGACTGCCTCCAACGTTCACTGCCTCCTGGGTTCACACAAGCGCCCTCCAGGCAGGCTGGACACCAGCTCTGTCCATATCTGCGGCCAGGACAACAGGTCGGGAGGGACTTGGTGTCGTCTCATCCAGTAGAGTCAGTTCATCTGCTGCTGCCGGTCCTCGGCCTCCAGACAGTGGGCTGATCCCTTGGGCCCCAGAAAAGATGCAGTTCCTACGAGCAGACACTGGCAGCCAGTCCATGTACAGCTGGAAGCAGGGTGCCAGGGCTGGACGGGTCCCTGGGCTCTGGAATAAAGGTCTTCATTCCTTGAGCAGGAGAGATGGACATCTGGCCCAGGACCCCAAACTGTTCATCAGGTTTCTGTGGGCCCACTGGATGGTGAGGGGGTTGGTGCCAGGCAGAGGGTGGCAGGCTCCACCGGGCACTTGCTCAGAGCTGGCGGCTTGAGCAAGCTGGTCAGCAAAGCTGTGTCCAGCCTGCTCCAGGGCCTTCTGGCTTGGGGGACTTGGGGCTGTGCCACAGGGCTGCTCCTCCAGCCACAGCTGAGCGCTGGGGAGAAGCAGGTGGCTGAGGAGGCAGAGCCCCCTCAGAGCTCAGGAGGAGCCTTGCAGGGCGGTATTCTTGTTCTGTGGGCCCCTCCTGCTTCCACAGAGGCAGAGACAGCTCAGGAAAGTGGGCCGAGTCGGCCAGGCCTCAGCTGCCTCCCCCAGGGAAGAAACAGGAACAAAGAAAACACGGGCTGCTAGTTCCGCCTCTCCACAGGGGGTGAGGGCCAAGTGAGCGTCCGGGGGCCTCTGGATGCAGGCCGCAGAGAGGTGAGCCGTGCCTGACACTGTCTCCAGGACCAGGACAGGCCGTGAGGGTGACAGGAAGGGCGAGGAGGTGCCTCGGCCAGGAGCAGGAACCCAGCCCCAGCCGGAAGGGGCTGCTGTGGGGTGCTGGGTGGCAGAGAGGCCAGTACTTTGGAGCCTGAGGGCAGCGGCAACCTCAGGCTGGGGACATTGCTGCGTGGGGCCCAGGGTGGGCGCTGGCGGGGATGCCAGCACGCCCACTCCCCAGGGCTGCTCACCGGCTTAGGATGGTGTCTCAGGAGTCCAACAGGCCTGAAGCACCTCCTGGGAGGACCCCCGGAATCACCCACCCTGGATCCTTTACCTTGCCCGGCCCCCCACCCGACCCACTCCAGGCAGCTCCACCCTGGTGCTGCCCTATGGCTGAGTTTCTGCTCTGCAAACCCTCTCTGCAGTGGCCGTGTCTCTTCTGGGACTGGCGGGGAGGCTCCTATCTTGGGTCTTTAAGGCAGAGAGACATAAGCCCATGGGGCGGTTTTTAAGAATGTCGCCGCATTTATAACCATAAAAAAATGAAGAAGCCAAGCACGTGTGTGTGGGGCCGGCTGTCCGGCCATCAGTGCAGGTCTGCGGTCACGATGAGGTTCCACGGCTCAGTAGCTCTGTTCGCCCAGGGACAGTGATCTGGTCCCTGGTACTTGGTGTGCGGGAGGAAAAAGGGGAGAAAGGGGAAACAGGAAGGCTTTTGCCCTCCGAGCCCCTTCAAACATCATCTTAGTGGTGTCGACTTGACCCAGAATTTAAGTTAAAACAAGTAAACAAAGGAGGAAAAGGACCCAGAAGCCGCTCCTGGCAGGAGCGCAGGCCCCGCCTGGGTCCCAAGGCGGACCTCACTTGAGGGACGAGATTCGTAGATTCGTACCAGAGTTTCCACAGCAGCCTCGGCTGCCTGACCTGGGAGGGACAGCGAGGGACGCTGGGTGCGCGGCTGAGCTGTGGACGGCGGGGAACTGGCGTGGGCTCGGGGCTCTGTGTGCTCCTCCGCAGCCTCCTGGCCTCCGGGCTATGTCTCCTGGGGCACCACCTGCATAAGCTTCTGACACAGGACGGTCGTGGAGACTGTCAGGAGAAGGCTGCTGTTAGTCAAGGGGCTGGGCGGCACCATGGGACATGGGGGCGTGAGTTGGGGCTCCCCCAGCCCTGTCACCAGACCCAGGGCCACCACCCCTCCTGAAATAGCAGAGAAGCCAGAAGCTAGGATTTTAAGGAAGCCTCCTGACTTGAGCACGTGGACACGGGGTGTGCGATGAGACGCACACGTGTGGCATCTGCTCCAGAACCCTGGGAGGGAGGGGGAGCACGGCCCGCGGAGCATACAACCCAGGCCCTGGGGTCTCAGCCAAGTGCAATGGGGAGACGTCGGGCCTTCCTGCCGGGCCGTGCCAGGGACGCAGCCTGGACACACACCAGCGGCCAGGCCGCCCTGCAGGAAAAGCTGGAGAAGCCGTCTGCTAAGGGGTCCTTGGGAAGACCTGTCACACCCGGGACTTTCTAGAGAAATCGCTCTGGGGATGGAGACCGTTTCAGGATAGGGATTTTTGCTTCAAGCTCTTGGTGTCCTGAATGACTTTTAAAAGCCACTGGTGACATGGTGATGAGCGTCTAGGCCTGCAGGCACGCTGGCCTTTTTCTAGGAACATGGCCACATTTGCAGGCGCTGAGGAGGGGTCCTAAGCTCGGTGGCAGAGCACCCTGGGGCTGCCACGGCAGAGGGGTTTGTCCTACTGCCCTTTTTTTTTTTTTTTTTTTTTTTTT